CAGTTGGATGGCGATAGAAGAGAATTGTACGAAGAGAAGCTTCGACAAGTCGAGCAATGAGTGAGTTGAGTAGATTGAGTGTTTTTGTTTTGACTGGATAAAGACGAAAGTGGAGATGATTAAAGAGCTGGTGAAGAGCGGCATGTGGTGATTTTTGTCAAGTGATGTATTTTTGTAAATTGTTTTTTTGTGAATGTCAATGATCGAAATGTGATTTGTGTGCTCAGCTGTAATACTTCATGGGCGTGAGTTTTAAAACTGAGGATATCATGAACCATTGCATGAATTTGTTGTATTACGTGTCTGTGAATCATATATTCCAATAAATAGGATTGTGCAAGTGCATGGTTGTAATGCCTTCTAAGAAGCTTAGCTTGTTATTTTTTTCTTCATGGAAACCAATATATTTTATCATCAGCTCGAGAAGGCTGAAAGTATGTTAAACATGTAGTCATTGCTGTCGATTTCCATCATCTTTGTACCCTATTTTAGATCAACCATAATGATATTATTCGAAAACTGTCTCGATGAAGGTCGAGTTTAAATATATACTGAACTACTTTTGATCGATAGTTAAATATTGTCACGTTTACGATAAATCTAAATCCTGATATGTGATTTATCGATTATCTAAATATGAGTGCTTTTAATTTCGATCTTAAATCATTTAAGAGAATTTCATTGTTCAATCAATTAAATGGTCATGCCATGGTAAGATACGACGAAGTTTTTGATCGTATCATTAGGGCACATCTTTCCAAGCATATTAGTTAGTAAAACTGAAATAATATTCTGTAATTTCTGATGTAATAACGATCTAAAGTGCTGTGAGAAAATGTAGGACTTCAAACAAAAATATATACTGTGGAATAACACACGACACGTGTCTGTGATAATCAACTGATTTGGTCGACTTTTTCGGAGAGTTAGATGTACATATAGAATAGAATTGTTGAATTACTTAATTTTCACATACTGTTTATAGAGTCAAGCTGATATTTGTGGTAATAAGTTGAAAAGACTACAAGATTGTCTTTCACTGTACTAACGTTGCGTTCTCTGTTTTAGATCAAATACTACACATATTTTACTATTCAGTAGTTTACTAGATATTACTTTAATATCTCAGTTTGTCTGATCAATTAACTTATATTGTTAGTTTATTAATCTAAGCATGAGGTCCAATTTGATTTCCCGCGTTCTTCATTTTCATTGAGAAACTCGATTTTATTACGTCAAGTTCATAATGAGCAGCTTTATTATTTAAAAATTTCTTAGGCATACATTCATTTATATTATTTTTATCAATTGCTCATACTTTATAACATTTATAATTCGTAAACAAATAACGGTTCAATATTATGATCTTTATAAATTGAAAAATGTGGTACCGATGCGTTTCACTGTCTTCTCATATCTTAAACATTTTGTTTTTTATTTTGTTTATTCCATGTATCTTTGTGGAATAAAACGAAAACATTCCCTATTTAAAGTTGTCAAGCTGTGACTTGTGATTATCCAACGATCTTATTGAAACGCTACTTGGCAAAAAGATTTCCGAACGTATTTTTTTTTAATGAAAAGATGCATCGGCGTCTTCGCTGTCGAATGCTGAAAATTGCAAGTCTATAGATATCGATAGTTGAAAGTTATTTTAAAAAACATTCTTTTTTATAACAGTAACAAAACTAAATTTACACATCTTTTCTTCATTAATAATCCATACTGATGTTTAATCTTTTTCGTTTTTCTAGACTAGAAGACAATGAGTGTTGTACTAAAAAGTACCGATTCTCCTATTCCATCTGTCGAAAATGGTGATCTATTTCTTTGTTATTCATTCGCATCAGCAATTAATTCAACTAATCTCAAAGCAGTGTTCGATAAACAGCCTGCAAATGAAGAAACGACACAAGAAGATCAAAAGTAAGTTAGTTTAACTAATTTGGACAATAAAATAAAAATATATTTTGTCTATAAAATAAATTTTGTATATAAAAATTATTCACTCGTTATTATTCACGAATATTAAAACTAGAAACATTCGTTTTCTGTTTGATTTAGTTCATTAATACCGTCCACTAGTGATTCTCAACAAGTATTGACTGATGAACCACCATCTATATCAGCAGAAGAAAATGAAAAAGATAAATGGAATGTGGGTGATCAATGTTTATGTCCGTATTCATCCGATGGTCTCTACTATCGTGGTACAATAAAAGATCTATCGGACACGTGTCTCGTTTATTTTGATGATTATGGAAATGAAGAACTCCATGATGTGAATGAATTAGTTTCATTTGAAGATCTAAATCAACTATCTCCTTTGAGTATATCATCTTCGATATTTCAACAACCATCAATAGCTATTCCACCACCATTGATGACTATACCATCACACGATAATAATGACAGTGATCATTTATCATCAACATTAATGTCATGGTATTTGGCCGGTTATCATACAGGATATTATGTGGGATTAAAAGCTGTCACAAAAAAATAAGTGAGACAAATTGATGTTGTTATTTGTGTTTCTATGCAGTTTATTGTAAATAAACATTGATTTTGTTTTTGTTTTTTATTTTTATTTTGTCCGATTTTGAATTTTTGAAAGGTCTACTGTTTATTTTCGAATCTAGAAGTTCTGAAAGAAACTGAATTATAACTATTTTTCTTACATTTCACACTTAAATAGTTATAAGATTTGAGACAATTACTTGAGTAGAAAGTATTGCATCATGTTTCTCTATTATTCAGTTTCATTTTTTATATTTACGATAAATTTAGTCAGATATCACTAATAATGTTTTATTTAATAACGATGGCGTATATTCCAATGTTCTTAGATATAAACTGATAGTTCAGATTGAATATTTTAAAATATTATTAAGCCGATGATGGCATTGAAAATTATGAATAAATGCGTTTTTCATTCGTGAAAAAGATCGAGATACATTTGGATTCTTAATCAAATATTCGAGTAGTGATCAATTTTTGATGACAGCAGATCTGATCAGTATATTTGTTTAAAATGATTATTATTAGTTGAACAAATGAAATTAAACTTTATTTAAATAATGATATTTTAAATTTCAGCAGATTATAGAAGGAAATCCCTGTTTTATACATTATGTAACTTCATATTTCTATTAGTTTTTCATTGATCATTTTCTTCTTTGATGTGTAACAGAAATGAGTGATACACTACTTTATCTAGTCCGCCATCACCTCATGAACAAATCTGTTTATACTTTTTGAAAAAATTCTCGTAGTGTGTAGACATGATCGACGACAGTGATGCTAGAGCAATGTTATAAATTAGAGAACGAAAAACTAGATATATCCAACGAGAGAAAGAGGATGTAGAAGGAAAATAATATAGTTTCTCTCGTTCTCTCTTGATTATAATTATAACGCATAAATCTGTTGAAGATAAAAAAAAAAGTAAGATGGTCTGTAACGAGACCAATTTTTCACATTCTTCACTACAGAAGCGACAGTTATTAGTTTCCCTTCAGTTTATCTTGAATTGAAGGTACTGCTCTGTGTAGATAGATCTCACAGGTACTAAATGCGCATATTTTTTTCTTTTAAATGTGAACTTAAAAAAATTTCATCCCTATCTTGTTCTTCTTTAACAAGAAAAAATGTACACCCGTGAACTTCTTGCCTTGCCAAGCTGTCAAAAAATTTTGGCTCGTCCATTGATCATCTCTGGCGTAGCATCAGAATAATATAATCTAAAAAATAAGTAATTAAATAAGTTTCTGAGTAATTGGCAGGTCTCAGTTTTTCAGTTATCGAACAAACAGGCTGTACTTCGCTAACGTTTTATTTACTTTTAGATTAGTTTGTTTGTCAAGCTAAGCTCTCTTACGTTATGACGCTATTTTACAATATTTATTATTCATGGTAATAATGATGATGATTAATATTTATTACCCCAAATATTTCCTCTATTAAAAAATGTCTAACTGCCAGTAGCTCGATCTTTAAAACAATTTTTATGTTTTGAACATCTCATTGAACATTAATACTAACGAATTGAAAAATTCGAATATACGGTCAACAAATTGCAGCAATCATTTGCGAATGAATGTATGAATATATTAGTGTAGTTTATGCAATATACAATAGAGTCTCACAGTATTGGTCGAACTTAAGGAGATATACTAAACAATTTAGAACAATTGAGAGAACACTTACTGCAAAAAGATTATATTTAGTTGAGTATTGCTATTAGGAGGAACTGAAGTAACCCGTAAGTACTTAAAATCACTTTTAAAGTACATTAAGATTAATCAAATTTTCTAGAATGCAGTCCTCTATGTGAAAACTTTCGTAGTTTAGAAATTTTGTGGAAGGTTTAGTGAGTGTTATAAAAGGAAGTGTGCAATACTGTTATATGATTTTTGCGATTCTGTTGGTTGAGTCAGAGTGTAGAAGTGAAAGATTATTGACTATGGTGTGTTGACGAAGGTGCAGAAGTGTAGGTTAGTAGTTCGAACGCGATTATCGCAGCTTAGATATTGAATCGCCGATAAGAAAGGTGTAGTTATTTATATCAAGCGAGGAGTAGCGATATTTATATTCAGAAATAAATGTTTTGGTTTTCTAAATATGTGTTATATGGTGAGTTCTGGTAGACTTTTGCTATCAGTGTGAACGATGATGGATGGATTCAGCATCACTAAATATTTCACTTACCATTGTACATAGTGAAACAATAGTCAATGATCACGATCAATCTCATTCTTGATCATCATTCGCCATGACCAATCGCTCATGATCTTTCAAAATATACGTTTTTTTTCAATTTACGTACATTGTCTCTCATCTATATTGGAATTTCAAAAATTAAAATTTTCCTTATGTTTGGAAATAAAACTGTTGCATTAAGAAGAAACGATTAACGTCCAGTAGATTTGATACAATGAGACAGTTTTAATGGTTTAACTTATGTGTAATTATTTTGATTAGAAATTCTGTTTTGAAAATCACTTTTTCCTGTAAATAATGTATATAGAGACTGAAGAGAACAAACACAATCGATGAAAACGAGTTTGATTAGTCAGAGATGTTGATCATAATAGCATTTTCTGACGATAAATAATTAAACGTTTTTAAAGAACAAGAGTATTACGAAGAGATAAAGAATTCTTCAGAACACCTGCACCTTCCTTCAGAATGAATGAAAAAAATCAAATAATCTTTCTCTTTTAGGATATCTCTAGATCGTCTATTTTTGCAGTGACTCTACTGTTAAACGGGTTTGGTTAGCATTTTAGTGTAAAAATGTGATGTAAAGTAGCAGAAAAAATGATATTAGTAGTCAGTTACATATAACGAAAAGCTGAAGGGATAGTGAAGAATTGTTGATTGTATGTGAATCATCGCTTTATGACTCATGGCAAATAACTGTAATATTGATAAATTAGATTTAATACTTTCTATAATAATAGTTTTAATATAAATAAATTATTTTTTAGATTGTAACGTAAATAATGTTTGTCTCAGCTTCATCCGCTGATAAAAGTGGTGGCGATGATGATGATAAATGTGTTCCACGTGCTGCTGTTCACAAAGTGATTAAAGATTGTGCACCAAATATTCGTGTATCAGGTGAAGCCAAAGAATTTTTTGTTCAATGTTGTAATGAATTTATCCATCTATTATCATCGGAAGCAAATAGTGTTTGTGAAAAACAGACAAAAAAATTGATACATCCCGATCATATTGTATCTGGTATATAAAAATAATAGCTAATACTTTAATGTCTTTTATAATTTATATATATATTTTTATTTTTTTAGCATTAGAAAATCTTGGTTTTGGTTCGTACAAAGCAAATTGTCGTGATGCTATGGAAACGGCTCAAGAAGAATTAGCACAAAAACGAAAAAAATTATCATCAAAACCGTCAAGTAATTTTAGTGAAGAAGAATTAAGACAACAACAAGAAGCACTTTTTGAACAAGTAAGATAGAAGAATAGTTAAAAATCAAGTTTTTACTCTATAAGTTATAATTATTTTTTTGTTTTTCTTGTAGGCTCGTGAAGAACAATTACAGTTAGAAATTGAAGAATGGCATCGTACACAAGAAATATCAAAAGAAATATTACGACAAAAAATGGAAGCAAGTAGAACTGAAGATGATAATTATGACTAACACATATTATTAGTGTTTTTTTTTCTCTCTCTCTATGTCTGATCAAATACATATATATCGAGTTTTGTCTTTTGTTTTTGTTTTTTTGTGTGTATTTTTTGAATATTGTGTTGTTTGTTCTTTATTTCATTGTAAGTTTGTGATTTCAACAAAATAGAATCTTGTGATATTTGAAAACGTTTTATTTTGATTTTTTTCTTATCGAAGCATAACGTGCGTGTGACGCTTTTATTGATCGTGATAAGTTAAAGATCAATTGAAATGAGTACCTTCGATATGTTTTTCTATATATTTTAAATCATTTTTCATCACAACTTACATTTACTTTGCTTGCTCTATTACTTTACTTATAACAGAATATATCATAGTCGTGATATAGTTTATACGACAGCTATTGGAATATTTAATTGAAAATTTTTGAGTGATTTTTTTTTTCTGTAGACCTTTATGCGTCCATCTACTTTGAAAAGTAATTAAACAATCTTATTTTCTATTTATGAATATTTGACCTGAAATTCATTCTATGCTTCAGTCACTCGTCTGTATGTTCCGAATTGTGTTATTTCGTGGTTTATTTGAAAACAACGATGTTATGTACATTCTCATGATATTTACCACCAGAGTCTTGTTCAACTAGTTCACACTACTACAGATAAATCATTACATCTGAAATTAGTTTAATATATTGATTAATGAATCGATCAAATAAACATGAGAAATTATTGAAACGATTCGATGAAATGTCATTAGTGGTTTTATAATAGAATGATAACTTATGTATATATAATAACTCTACTTCCATCATGTGCACTTATGCGAAATTTATACAGTGAAAAACAATTTTACGATAGCAAGTGTAATCAACTAAGAAAATGTTAACATATGTTTTTCTTGTTTGTAATAATAATCAAGACTTAGTATTTTATGCGATAAATGAGATCAACATTCACATGATCTAACGATGAAATGGTTTGATTTGAATCAAATGGCAGTATATCGGAAGTGTATGAGAAATTAAAACAATATTTACTAAAACTGAATGCATATATTTATTCATGTGTTCGAAAATTGAAGAATTATACGATTCATATCACTAATCTGAACTGTAGTTTCATCCTTACGTTTCAGAACAAAATCGAAAACTTCCTATCTAAATAACCGGTTGAAAATTATCTGAAACTAACTATATTAATCTTCTATACATTTGATGCAATTTCTCTTCCTCTGTTGGCACGTGTCTTATACTTCCTTCACCGATGCATGACATTCATACCCTGCTTCATGATATCCTCAGTTTTAAAACTCACGCTCATGAAGTATTAATTACTCTTTAATCATCTCCACTTTCGTCTTTATCCAGTCAAAACAAAAACACT